CCTTCCTGCAGCGAGGTCCTGAGCATCGTTTGAACGATCCCTAGTTTTCCCCACTGGCGTGACCTTGGCACCACTGGCCGATTTACCGGGTCGATGGTTCACAGGTTCCCACCCCCCCTGGATGGGATGGGTCCCAGGGTTCCACAGGCCACCCCCCGATGGGATGGGGGGGCGACACCGACGCGGATGCCTACGCTACCGCCGACGCCTACGGCCTACGCCGACGCTGACGCCGACGACGACGCCGACGCCGACGCCGCCGCCGCCACCGCCACCGCCGCCGACGATGACGATGACGACGACGACGAGGAAGACGACGAGAACGACGCCAACGCCGCCGACGCCGACGCCGACGCCTACGCCGACGCCGACGCCGCCGCCGACGCCGCCGCCGACGGACGACGGACGACGGACGACGACCACGACGACGACGAAGCCGACGGACGACGAGGACGACGACGACGAGGATGACGACGAACGACTCCACACCCACATGGGGGAGGGCGGGGGGTGCATCGGCACCCTCCACCACGCCACGCCCACAGGGCCACGACCACAGGGGGGGAGGCCATTCGCAAGGCCTTCGCGAGGCTCACGGGCGTGCCCATCTAGCGGGGGGAGGTCACGATCCCATGTGCATGGGGGGGAGACGTGGGGGCAACCCTGCATCATATATGCATGCTTTTTCGGACTTCGCGGCACTACCCCTACCCAGGAGGGTGGGCTGGTAGGACCGAGATGCCCTGGCGCACTGGGGATGGGGATAGGCCAGACGATGTTGAGGTCCAGACGAGCAGCAGCGCCGCGCCCACCAGCATCCCCAAACCTGGGGAAGCCAACTGTACCGATACCGCAGCTCCCCGGACTTCTCCCGGGGTGCGTCCTGACCAGAATTCTGGGGCGAACCCAACCGTGGCGACGAGGGCCTCCGAGGAGCCCCCAAAAGGCGACACCGAGGGCGGACGTGGAGGATCAGGAGGAGGAGGAAGAGGATGAGGAGGAGGAAGGGAAGGGAAGGAGGAGGAAGAGAAGGAGGATGGGGGAGGAGGAGGAAGAGGAGGAGATCGAAGGAGGAGGAGGAGGAGAAGGCCTGCGCCGACCGTGAGCTGCCAGCAGGCGGTCTGGCCCCGGGGCGCCGCCAGACGCGCCGAGCAGGTGGCCGATCTGCTCCGCGCCCTCGCTGCTGGCGCGAATGCGGCGACCCGCCCGTGGATCCGCCACGCCGACAGGGAGCGCCCACGCGGCCATCACCCGCTCGAGACCATTGTGAGCGCGGCAGATCCCGGTGGGGCCAGGCGCGCCCGAGTCAGAAGTGCGGCCGGGCCGCGACCACCCGAACCTAGCGTCCAGCCGCGCTTAGTCGCCGCTGACAGGGCGCGCAGGAGCCCGTGCTGTGGTAGCTGCCCACGGGCGGCTGGGCTGGTCAGGCTGCGGGGTACGCGCAGACAGCCCCCTCAGGCAGTCCAGGCTGGCCTCAACAGGGACTCCAAGCAGCCCGAACACCATGCCGCCACCTCCGGCGGCGCCCCTGGGGCGCTCCGCCCTCTGGGGCCGAGTTGCTGAGGCCGCCCCAGACTGCTCGGAGGGCCTGTTGAGGCCAGCTGCGACCACTCGGAGGCCTATGGCGGCCAGCCGGGACTGCCTTCGGGGGCTGTCTGTGCGCAGTCCGAAGCCTGACCAGGCGGGGCGGCGGCGGCGGAACGCCCGACCCCCTCAGCTCGGCCCGTTGCCTGAGCCCGCGTGGGCGTGGAGTTGTTCTCGAAGTCTGCTGTCGATGGTATGTTCTACAGTGGAGGCCAGTCCACAAGAAACCTTCCACAAGAAGCCCGACCCTGAGACCCCAGAGCGTCTATGGATTCTCTTGGTGTGGGAATGTCAAGCCCTCCACAGGAGAACCATCGAAACCCAAGAAACCCAGGGCACCCCGGAAGCAAGCATGGTGTTTCTTGGCATGGGCCTCCACTGTAGGACCAGGTCCCCCCAGGCCCGAAGGCGCGGTAGCGGATGTGGACAGGAGGGAGGGAACGAGGGCAGGAGAGGGCGGCGAGGGGGAGGGGGAGGGGGAGAGGGAGGAGGACGAGGAGGAGGAGGAGGAGGAGGAGGAGGGGGATGAGGATGAGGATGAGGATGATGATGATGATGATGATGATGATGATGATGATGATGATGAGGAGGAGGAGGAGGAGGAGGAGGAGGAGGAGAGGAGGAGGAGGAGGAGGAGGGCACCCAGAAGCAAGCGGGGTGTTTCTTCTTGGCAGGGGCCCCCACTGTAGGCCTCTCCGTGGGCGGCGTGGCGTTGCGGCGCCTGGACGGCGTGCCGCCGCCTCCCTCTGGTCGGGGCTCGGCGAGGCGGGGCCCTCGGGGGGGAACTCTCGGGGATTCTTCGGGCCTGGCGGCCGCGGTGTGCAGGGCTTGCCAGGTGGGACTGACAGGGGAACTCTCGTGCTTTGTGTTCAATATCCACCATGTTCCAGTTCTCGCTGGATCCCCTAGCTCATGCTGGGAGAGAGGGAACTCATGCTCGGAAAGGAACCTCCTGGGGATTCTGGGGGCCTGGCGGCCGCAGTGTGCAGGGCTGGCGGCCTTGTCTCTATAATACATCCCAAGAAGGGGGAGGCGGAGGAGGATGAGGAAGAGGAGGAGGGGGAGGGGGAGGAGGAGGAGGAGGAGGAGGAGGAGGAGGAGGAGGAGGAGGAGGAGGAGGAGGGAGGAGGAAGAGGAGGAGAAGGAGGAGGAGGGGGAGGAGGAGGAGGGAGGAGCAGGAGGAGGAGGAGGAGGAGGAGGAGGAGGAGGAGGAGGAGGAGGAGGAGGAGGAGGAGGAGGAGGAGGGAGCCGGGGGCAGCTCCGACCTGTCAGAATCCTGGGAACGGTCAGCATCGAATCGGGAAACCAGGTCGGATCGGGCAGCGCGTCGGGGTCGGGCCGCACAGGCACGGAGATTCGAGATCCAATCGGATCGGCTGCGCCAGAATGCACGAACGCGCCATGCAATCTTCAGGACGCATCGGATCGTCTGATTACTGGGCCTTCTCTTAGGGTGGAGAGCTCAGGGTGAAACCCATGGGGGCTTTCGCACCTCGAAGATCAATCCGTCTTGTGGTTCACCTTCTGCAGATTCGAGCCTCGAGAATCAATCGAAACGACATTTCAGATTTCACCCTTTGCCCTCCACCCCCAAAACATGCTCGGGATTATCAGAATCGAATATGATGGAGCTGGCGGGAATCGGCACCGAATCCGATCGACATGGACGCTGGCCGTGTCTCCAGTGATGTCTCGGGCCATGGCCTCCAGCGGTCGGTCGGGTTAGAACGACTCGGACACCCCAGAATGCTCCAGGCGAGGCGCACCTAGGAGGAGGGGGAGGGGGAGGGGGAGGGGGAGGAGGAGGAGGAGGAGGAGGAGGAGGGGGGAGGAGGATGAGGAGGAGGAGGAGGAGGAGGAGGTGGAGAAGGAGGAGAAGGAGGAGGAGGAGGAGGAGGGGGGCGGCAGTCGACGACTACTCACGTCACCAGGTTCCAGGTTCCAGGAGGAGAGGGAAGAGGAGCAGGAGGAGGAGGAGGAGGAGGGGGAGGAGGAGGGTAAGGAGCATCCCGAGGCAAGAACATCGCTGAGAATCGACGGAAGCGCCAGAGAACCTCCAACCTCGAACCCTTCGCTCCTCCTCCCTCCAACGAGGTCCCCAAAAAGCCGTTCGTTGCCGCCCCGCGGGGCGCACAGCGCCGGAGGCCCCGCCAACGGTGTCCAGCTCCGATCCAGGGAATCTGCGCGGACCTCCGGAAGTCTATTTCGCAAGCAATGCTCGCACTCGGGGGTCTCTTGTTTGCCTTGCTGAGGAATCGGTCGGGCAGCCCGAGAATCCGTGTTGCTGGCCGCCCAGCGTAGTTTGCATCACACATCTTGCACCACATGGCCTGCAACACATGGCGTGAACGCACATTGCACCTGGAACTACACGACTTGCACCGCCCGGCCTGCACCACACTCCTTACACCACATAGCTCGTGCCGCTTCGATTGCACCAACAAGCCTGCACAGCACAGCGTGCCTCGCATGGCTTACACATCCACGGCGCAACAGCTTACATTCCCAGACAACGCTTGCACTTGAAGGGGCGCTTACTTGTTGTACGCAAGGAACTGGATGGGTGTCCCGGGCTCCGCCACGTTGCGGGCCCGTGCCGCCTCGTGGGCGCCTCGTGGGTGCGCCACGTTGCTGGCCCGTGCGGCCTCGTGGGCGCCGCGTGCGCTGGGCGGGTTCCCCGAGAGTTGGCCTCGTGGGCGCCTCGTGGGCGCCTCGTAGGCGCCTCGTGGGCGCCTCGTGGGCGCCCCGAGGTTGCGCCACGCTGCGGGCCCGTGCGGCCTCGTGGGCGCCGCGTGCGCTGGGCGGGTTTCCCGAGAGCTGGCCTCGTGGGCGCCTCGTGGGCGCCTCGTGGGCGCCCCGTGGGCGCCGCGTGGTCGCCTCGTGGGCGCCTCGTGCGCGGGGTGGGTTTCCCGAGAGTTGGCCGCGTTACCGCCCCCCCCACCCCCTCCCCCCCTCCCTCCCTCCCTCCCTCCCTCCCTCCCTCCCTCCCTCCCTCGTGCTGCCTCGTGCGCGCCTCGTCGGCGCTCCGTGCGCTGAGCTTGCCTCACACAACTTTCACCACATAGCTTGTGCCACCTGGCTTGCACAACAGAGGTTCCACCACGTAGCTAACACCACGTAGCTTGCACGACCCAGCCTACACCATGCCTATCTATCTATCTATCTATCTATCTATATATATATATATATATTTCATCGCGCATCGTTCCATCCTCACTCACACGGCATATCTTACACGGCATGGCTTTCACCATACAGCTTCCACCGCACAGCTTTCACCTCCAAACTGACATAACTCACCGTTTGGGGTCCACGCTGTACGCTGCCTGACATGTTGCTGGATTTCCTTATGCGGGCGACGACCTCTCCGTCCCCAAGCACCCCTGATCGCCGCCCTCCGCAGTTGCACAGCCGGCCTCTCTCAGAACGTCGGACACGCGGTGCGGCAGGGCCGCGGTGCTGTAGAGCTCGGGCAGGCCTCGGGGTGGGACATCCACATCAATATCAGTACCCTACTCCTCCACAGCGTCGTCGTCGACAGTACTGATTCCAATTATCCTAATCCTAATCCTAATCCTAATCCTAATCATCATCATCATCATCATCATCATCATCATCATCATCATCATCATCAGCATCATCAGCATCATCAGCATCATCCTTCTCGCCATCATCATCACCACCAATCTTCATCATCATTATCATCAACATCATCAACATTATCATCATCAGCACCAGCATCATCATCATCATCATCATCATCATCATCATCATCAACACCATCATCATTATCATCACCATCATCATCACCACCATTATCATCAGCATTACCACCATCGTAATCATCGTCATCATCGTCATCGTCATCATCGTGATCATCTTCACCATCCTCGCCATCGTCATCGTCATCGTCATCGTCATCCTCCTCCTCATCATCCTCATCACCATCCGCATCATTATCAGCATCATCATCCTGATGACCATCATCATTATCATGCTGATCATCAGCATCATCATCAGCATCACCATCATCACCATGATAATCAGCATCAGCATCAACATCGTCGTCGTCATCCTCATTGTCCTTTTTTTGTCATTGCCATTGTCATCGTCGAAATCATCCTCGCCATCGTCGTCATCATCATCCTCATACATCTTATCGGAATCCAACTCCGTCTCCTCCTCCTGTTCCTTCTTTCTCCTCCTCCTGCTCCTGCTCCTCCTCCAACTCTTCCTCATCCGCCTCCTCTTCACTCCGCCTTCTTCTTCTCCTTCCTCCTCTTCCTCCTTCTCCTTGTTCTGCTGCTATTCCTCATCCTCCTCCTCCTCCTCCTCACACTTCCCATGCATTCATTCATTCACAACCGGCCTGACAAGTTACGCGAGGAAACTGCGCATCCTCAAGACTAGTATCAAAACTGCCCAGGTTAGGGCCGAGGGTGATCTACGTCACAACTCGGCCCTCCTCCTCCTCCTCCTCCTCCTCCTCCTCCTCCTCCTCTCCCTCTTCTCCCTCCTCTTCTTCCTTCCTCCTCTCTCCTCTTCCTCCTCCTCTTCCTCCTCCCCTTCCTCATCAACCTCCTTCTCCTCCTTCTCCTCCTCCTCCTCCTCCTCCTCATCCTCCTCCTCCCTCTCCTCCTCCCTGTGCCAAGTTTTGCGCATGACGATTGGAAGATCCTTGCGCCTCTGGGTACCTCTAGGGGCCTCTGGGGACCTCCAGGAGGCAAGATTCAGGTCGGCACCAACACGTACCATCGTCACCGCTGCCTGTTCAATTGTCCTCCTCCGCCTCCGCGATCTCTTCCTACTCCTCCTCCTCCTCATCCTCATCCCGCGCCCGGTTCAAGCGCTGCAAAGACCATGCGAAGATACCGACACGATTCGATGTTGGGGATGTGGAGCAGGAGGATCGGAACTGCAAATAGTCAATTCGCAACGCGAAAGAGAAGGACGAGGAGGAAATTGTTCCGCCTTCCTCCATGACTCTCTGTCTGTCTGCCTCTCTCACACACGGCCACCACCCCTCCCCTCTCCCCCCCTCTCTCCTCCTTAATGTATTATTCCCCCCTCCCCTCAGGATCCTTCTCTCGGTTTGATAGTACACCCATCTCATCCTCTCATTCCTTCTCCCGTTCTCCCTTCCTGTTCTCCCTCGCCTCTCACGCACCTCTCTACTCACTCTTTCCGCCCTGCCTTCGGCTAGAAAACATGAATCAGCGGAAATTCCTCCCTCCTGATCCTCCTCTTCCTCCTCTTTCTCCTTCTTCTCCTCCTCCTCCTCCTCCTCCTCTTCCTCCTCCTCCTCCTCCTCCTCCTCCTCCTCCTCTTCATCAGCCTCCTACTCCTACTCCTACTCCTGCTCCCCCTCCTCATCTCCCTTCTCCCTCCGCCGCTCTGACCCTCCTACCCTTCCACCTCGTCCTTTTCCTCCCGTGCTTCCTCTTATCACTCCTCTTATTTGTTTACCTGCCCCGCCTGTCTGGTTGAAGAACATGTCCATCAGAGGCAGGTACCCCGCGCCCAGCCCGAAGCGCTGCGCGAATTGGTGGCTCGCGGGCGCGTCGTCGCTGTCGCCGTGCAGGAGGTGGAACGCCACCTGACGTGTCGTCGCCGATGCCGTCGACGGGCGCGGGGATGCTCGAGGAAGGTTTCGGACCGCCGCCGTCGCCGTCACCATCGCCGCCGGTGCGCGTGGCGCGGGCCCCGGGCATCCAACCCCGCGCGCGGTCCGCCCCGCGAGGGCCCCGAGGCGAAAAGGGGTAGACGAGGACCAGGAGGGTTCGTCATCGCTCGGACGTCCATTCCCCATGCACTTTTAAGGTTTGCGCGCATATTTTTTCGCACGATGATCCAGGATGCCCCTCGATGGTCCTCGTCGAAATAAAATGCTCACGTCCGAGCGATGCCTGGAGAGATGGCAAAACCTTGGCGCGAGCGCAACGGGTCCCGGAGGAGTCGGAGTCTGGATCCCAAGGATTTTCCTGGAACCGACTTCCCATCCTGACTCGCCTTTGGAAGGCACTGGGGCCCGGGGGAGGCCCCAGGAAACTGAACAAAGAACTGCGCGACCTTTTATGGCGACGAGGCGCGAGGCCAACAAGACCCGCGGGCCACCAGAAGAAGGTCCCGATAGAGCCTCCCCGCATCAGGGTGGACCAGCGCGTGGATCGAAGAGCGCACCGCCTGCAACGACTTGCCCATCGATGTATACAACCCCGACGGAAAAAAGAATGAGGGCGACGACGACGAGGAAGCAGAGGAATAAGAGGAAGAGGAAGAGGAGGAGGAGGAGGAGGAGGAGGAGGAGGAGGAAAAAGAGGAAGCCTCCCTCCTCTCCCAACTTCTTTGTCTCCTCGGCTGAGACTGGGCCCCGGATCGTCTCGTGGACCGCGAGGAGGTCGGCCTGGAACCCGTCAGGTGCGCCGCGCGCTGCGAGCAGCTCGGAGCCGAACTACGCGCTAGTTTGCGTGGGCGGTTCACAGGTCGACGTGTCTGATTGGCATCAGGGCGTCGATGTACTCGTCCAGGTCGAGCGTCGCGGCACCGTCGGCGCTGCGGTGTTGATGGACACCGCAGTTGGTGAAGTCGTCGTAGTCCCCCTTCATCTTGCCGAAGACGCCCTCGACGTGGCCGATTGGCTTGTCGACGTTATGTCCAGAGGCGTTCGGGGCGTCGACGCGCTTGGACGTCATGAGCACAATCGCCGACAGCGCAGTTGCTGCGCGCCCCATGCTTGACCTCGAGCTCCGGGCCCCGCCGAATGCGTTTAGCGCTGCACTCTGGTGATCGCGTGGCCCGGGCGAGCTTCGTGAAGAACGCCCAGGGTGCGTCCTTGCAGCCCGTGCCCCGTTCGATGCAGCGCAGGCGCTCGGTCCTCTCGCCGAAGGACTCGTGGCCGGGCGCCTGCCCGTGGATAGCTCCGCTGCCGGGCGGCAGGGAGAAATTCGCCACGCGCGGTGCTTCGCCTTGTCCTGCATCTCGGCACGCGCCATGCCCTGCAAAGGCGCCTTCTCGACGCCCGCGGCGACGTAGACCCGGCCCAGGGACGGCATGCGCCGCGAAGCGCGCTCGGCGGTTTCCGCGAACGTCTCCCAGGCGACGGCGCGCATGTCGCGGAAGCCTCTGAGCGCCGAGCGGCGGTAGATCTCTCGCGCTGTCTTGCTGTCGGGACCCTTCTGGTGCTTCAACTTGAAGGCGCGCCTGGAGTCCGCGACGTCTCGGGCGCCATTGAATCGTCGCCATCCGAAACGTTTGCACCGCTTCGCCCAGATGGTGAGCTCCTCGAGGATGGCTGCGGACAGCCTTGGGTTGCCTGGACACCGCTTCCTTGGTCAGGAGATTGGCGTCGCGCTTGACGGCGGCGTCGTCGCCATTGAAAGCCGCAGCTGCGGGAGGTGTAGCTGGCGCAGCGGCCGGCAACGGGAGAAAGTTGGTCGGCGTCTCTGCCCAACTTCGTGCGGCTCGGCGCTGCTGGTCTGCCGTCGTAGTAGCTCCAGTGCTAGCTGTGTGCTTTGGATCTCGTCGAGGTGTCGTCGTCGGGCGTGCTCGAGAGCGGCGCGCGCGCCGCGCTCGGACCGACTGCCGAAGGGCGCCCGCGTCTCGCGGCCGCAAACCACATGGCCACACTCCCCGATGGTTGGCTCGCGCCCATTGGCCTGTTTGTGTTGGACAAGGCCAATCCAGGGGGGGCGTCTGGCACCGGCGGCGGCGCGGGTGCCGGGGGCGATTGTTGGGACCAAGCGGAACTCGATCCGCACGGCGTACTGATGCCGAGCGAAACCGCTGACGGCGTGTAGACCTAGGTCGGAAGCTGGCGGCGTGGGAGCTGCGGCCCGAGCGCGGAGGCCGCCCAGCCAGTCGTGACCGTGGTCGTGCCCCAGTGGGGGTGCGCTCAACTCGTGCCCACTGCGGTGGCGCAGGTGGCGCTGCTGGAACTGTCGGCGCGGGCGTGGCTGGCGCTGGCTCGCCCGTTGCTGCCGCGTGGGTCTGGGGCGCAGTTGCAGATGCCAATGGATGAGCAAAAACTTGCGCGCGGCCAATGAGATCGTCCGTCTCCTGTCGTAGTCGTCGTAGCTCGGCGTCGTGGGGGTTGGGCCATGGCGATGAAGATGCCGCGCCCGCCCAACATGACCACGGACTGCGGCCAACCTGTTGCCGCGAACCGTCGGGCCACGAACTTGCGCAGCATCTGCTGCTGGCCGCAGTGCGGCTGATGCTGGTGCGGGCCGTCCGCCGTTCCAGCGGCCAGTCTCTTTCGCAAGGCCACTTGCGGCATAATCTGCCCGAGGCTGGCGGGTTCCATGGCCCTCCAAACAGCGTGGGTGTCTGTCGGGGGCTGCAGCTCAGCTTGGCTCGGTGGCCCTCGCTGCCCCAGATTCGACAGCGGCGCGGACGCCGGCGGTAGAGGGGCGCAGGTTTTGTGGAATGCGCGCTCGATTGCGGCGGCAGGCGCAGTCGCGCGCGAGGTGCTCCTTTGAATCGCCGTCGTGGCATGTGGATCGCACCCCGTCAGAGCCCATGGGGTTGCCGTGACGTCCTGGGTCCCTGCCACTGGTCCTGAATCTTCCTATCCCCTTACCTTCGTCCTTCTCGATTTTGCGAATGTCTCTCGGGGAAAATTTTCGGGCCAGTCGGCAAGGAAGGCTCGGTGGCCCTTGCCGTGGCCCTTGCTCATCCTCTGAATGACCTTCCAAACGTGGCGCGTGGGCTTGCGGTCGTTGTTGAGGCGTCGCTATCGAACTGTAGCTCGCTCGTGAGCCAGCGCAGGTGTGCGCCGCGCTGTTCCACGGCACGGTCGCGTAGCTCGGGGTCGCCGTCGGAAGGCTCTCTCTTTTGCCGAATAAGCTGATGGTGTGGGTGCCAATGCACGGGTCGATGGCAGCTGCTGGGGGGTGACTCCTGCGCTGGTAGTGCCGGTGCATGTGGGCTCGGTGCCACCCCCTGTGCTGACGGGCCCAGGCCGTGCCTGTTCGATCTGCCTGTAGTGTCATGGACACTCTGAGCCTGATCTTGCTCGGGTGTACCCGTGAAGGAATTTTGCTGTTGGGCTGAATCAGCCGCTGAGGCGAGATTGCCGGGCGATCCCTCGATCGTATCGTATGCCCACGGCGTCGCAATTGACCCTTCATACGTGCGAGTTGTGCTGAACTGGTCGGGCAGGCCATGTTGTAGTGCTGCAACATCACGGTCAGCTGCGCATTTGACCGTCCTACCGCGCGCAAGAGGCGGAGGAGGAGGAGGAGGAAAAGGAGGAGGAGGAGAAGGCGGCGGCGGAGGAGGAGGAGGAGGCTGAGACCCTCGCTGCCGAACGTGAGTTGACCAACTTGCTGGGGGCGGTTGCGGAGGTGGGCCCCTGCCCCGACTGTTTTCGTTCCCGTCAGCGTAGTGGGCGTTATCTTCAGACGTGTCGTTGCGGCTGTCACCGCGTCGGGGCATAGAATAGTTGCGAGCATGCGCGCCCCGCTTTGTATCGCTATGGCGGTCGGCGCACTCGGGGCATCGCGCAACATAGTTGCGAACGTGCTCCTCGTGCGTCGCGCAGTCGTCACATTCGCCGCGCCCGTGACATCCCGCAACATAGTTGCGGACATCCCCTTCGTGCATCTCGTCTTCGCTGTACTGGATACCGCCGAGTGCACGATCGTCCACAAGACTGCGCATCGGGGTCTCGTCCTGCCAGTTTGACAGGAACCCGTGGGTGTGACGGTATGTCATGTGCCAAGAGAACGAAGACAAATCGTCCCAGACCTGTTCCGCTGTCCCTTGGAGCGCTGGCACTATAGTCGCCAGAGCCTCCACTGAATGCCAATTTTGCAAATTTTCCCGAACTGTTGTCCGCTTGTAGTTCCCATGGTTCCCGCACGTCTTTGCGAGCAGCTCAAACACATGCGGTTCGGAAAGCGTTTCCAACATAATGGGAAAACGCCCCGGGAACAGCATGAAACGGCGGCGGGTGAGCACCGCGCTCCTTGAACTTCTTGGCGACGTACTACTTATGGTCGATGTTGCCTCGTTGTTCGTTGTAAAGAGCGCGAGGTAGATGACCATGGAACGCCAAAAAACAGTTTTGCCGAACGCGTGGAACATGATGGCGACGGAACCGAAGAGCAAAGGACTGGCTTGGGCACCGTGCGGGTCATGGCGGCAAGAAATGGTGGAAGGGAGGTGGAGCTCCGCTACCAACTGTTACAACATATGATTGCGATAGTGCTGCCTTTTACGCAATATGAGCACTGGTGTTAACACGAGACGAAGACGGGCGCGACAGGTTGCAACCTGCCGCTCCTGGAGCCAAGCGGCAACGGGGAAAGGGAGTTAATTAACTACAGGGCAAAGAATGCAGGAATGGTTGGCAGGCTACCGTTCGAATAGGAAGAGGAGGAGGAGGATGCGGAGGGGAAAAACGAGGAGTAAAGAAGAAGGACGGGGAGGAGCAAATGACGACGAGGAAAGATGGAGGTGGACGAGGAGGATACCGAGGAGGGAGAAGGACGAGAAAAGAAGGAGGAGGACATGAGGAGGACGAGGGAGGAGCAGTCGAGTCGAGCCGAGCTCACAGGCGATGTCTGGGGCCGCCTGCGCCTTGCAACGAGCACCACCCGAGAAGGGCGGCCCTGCACCGCAGCCGAACTGCACGGCACCCTCCCCGCCGGGGCACTGGCCCGCGGGCTCGGGGGGCCCGCGTAGGCCCACGTAGGCCAAAGATGGGCTGCTGCTTCTGCTGCCTCCCCACCCCACCTCCCCCCCCGCGCAGCGGTTTTGGGAAGAGAAGAGGAAGGAGAAGAGAGAGAGAGGGGAAGAGACAGAG